AAAGGCATGATACCTAAAGGGTTTTGACCAATCAAAACCCCCCTGTGAATTTGTCCATCTGATTCTTTAATTATTTTTAATGACTAAATTAACCTTTAGAAGCAAGATTGGAACAAAAAATTAAAAGAAAAAAAAAAGAGGAAGCTAGAGCTCAGGGTGATAATTCCTGCATAAACCAAGGCAAAAGATAAAACTATGTCAATTGAAATTGCATGTAGCAACTTCAAATTACAATAACAATTATTATTATTATTATTATTATTATTATTATTATTATTATTATTGTTGTTGTTGTTGTTGTTGTTGTTGTTGTTGTTGTTGTTGTTGTTATTAGAGATTTTGTTTAATATAATGATTATATAATATGAGAAAAATGTGCCCAAACTTTTCTAGGCAATTTTTATATTTTTATACTTGTAAAGTTTTTATTATTTAATTATAACATCATGGGTTGGCCAATTTGGCTTGGATATTTAAACTAGTGACCCACCACCCTAACAAAAGAGTGGTTTCGTTTCTATTTGATTTCAAATTTTGTATTTCATTTTAATCATTAATACAAATAAGCTTTGTTTATTATGATTAGGGTTGTTCACGGGTCAGGTTGGGTTGGTTTACTGTGATTTTTTCAACCGACCCGACCTGGTCAGGTTACCTGAAATTGAAACTGAAACCGAACCTGTGTTAAGCAAAACCAACATGATCGGTTTGAGTTGGGTTGGGTCGGTTTGGGTCAGTTTCGGCTCTAAGTTCAACCATGGTAATAAATTGGTAGATTGGAGAAAGAAKAYTGAAATTTGATGTAAAAAAGGACACCTAATTCTATTAGAGAAAGAAGACTGAAATTGGTAGGGGGCGGACCAAGTTAGAATAGAAGTTATCAAGAAAATAGAAAGTCAAACTATATTAGAGAAAGAAGACTGAAATTTGTATATTTCAAGAAATCTTCTAATCTAAGTAAAAAAGGACACCTAATTCTAATTGTAATTGGTTGCCTATTTGGTGTAAAAGACCATAAAAACTAGGATCCTTTGATTATTTTCTTTAAACTTTTCCAAAAAAATTCCTTGTTTAGTTGTCTTACAATACTTGCCATTAATGTCATTCCTAACTAGAAGACTAGAAATTAAGTTAGGTTGTAACTAGGATAGAGACAACTTAGTTAGGTAGGAACTAAGTAGGTTGTAAATACTAACTAGGAACTAACTACTAAGTCGGTTCGGGTCGGGTCAGTTTCAGTTTTCATATGTGAAAACCGAAACCAACCCGAACCATCGGTTTATGATTTTTTACAACCCGAAACTGACCGGTGCTGAAGAAAACCCGGCCGGTTCGGGTTGGATCGGTTTGGTCGGGTTGGGTCTTCTTATGAACAGCCCTAATTATGCTAGATGTACGATATTAGAGATATGGCCAAAATTGTATATCTTTTGTATTTCTATTTATTTTAAAAATATTATTATTTCATTATGACATCATGGATTGATTAACCTATTTGACCCAAACAGTTGAACCATTGACCCATCTCTTGAATGGGGAACTAGTTTTGTTTTCTAGTCAATTTTAAATTTTGTCATTTCCATCATCAATAAATATACTTCTTGTTCAGCATGTTTATTTTTTGTTTAATATGATGAATATATAATATTATAACATTATAATTTTTATAAAATAATTACATATTATTTTTAATTTTTCATATTCTACATATTTTCTGTATTTTTATTTAGTTGTGACATCATGGATTGACTTATCACCGTTTAAGATCTGACTTATGTATTTTTTGTCATACTTATTTTTGTTTAATATGACCAATATATAAAATAAAGAATGTACTAAATTTCTTTACAAATTTTCTTTATTTTTTATACTTTTGTATCTTATCTATTTTTGAGCTTTTATTGCTTAATTTTGACATCATGGGTTGGCCCATTTGATCCAAAATGGTATAAATTCTTACCACCACCTAGACGAAAAACAATTTTACTTCTGTGTTCATCTTAAAAATATAAGCTTTTATAGTATTAAAATTACTTAGTGGTTTTAATTAGTGGGGTTTAGTGATAAGAAACAAAGTGCCTTAAATATAGTATTGGATGAGGGAGGATAGGAATTAATATCTTGAATGCAAGAATTAATGAGAGGGAATTGAATGAACTCATTAATATTGTTCAAATTACATTTTTTTTCTTCACAATAAAGAGGGGGCCATATTTAAAAATGAAGGGTATTTTAGTCAAGAAATCCAAAAACCTTAGACCCTGTTCGTACTTATTTATAATAGTATAGATACAGATATAGATATATAACCACATGTATGACAAAGGAGAAGGAAGATAGCTCAATGCAAGGCCTGTGGTGAGAGACGATTTGCCTCCCCTCTTTCCTCATTCTAATATAGATTTGGATAATAAATCACAATAAAAATACTCTTAGGTCTTTATTTCCTCTAGCAAAATCTATCATTGTTCTCTCTAATAAAATCATTATCAAATCTCTCCCTCACCCCCAATGGTCAATGGTTGGAACATCTCCCTTCCTCCATTAAATCCCTTTTTTCCTCTTTAATTTCTCTACTTAAATCTTTTAATAAAGAAGGGTATAAATCAGATGGATTGGGTTGGACCAGGTTAAGAGCCAAACCAAGATTAGCCCTAAACATGAACCTCGTTTGGACCCAAACTAATTTCAAAACCGAAATTTGTCAACCCAAAACTAACCAAATTTCTATTCATACCCATGCATTGCATGAGTTTACCTTGTAGTTATTAATTAAGTTCAATTGTATTGAGGTCTTAAAGCGAATTATTAATCAAGTTCCTAACATAAATTGTATTAGTGATACTGTACTAGTGCTCCTTAAAAGCAATTGATAAAGTTAATAATTTCTGCTGTTAACCTTCCATCATGGTTAGCACATTATCTTTCAATTGTACAAGCAGTGATAAGTGGTTCTCTGTTGGGTGGATCGTATTTACATTTAGGAGACACTAAAATTCATTGAAAATGTCAAATATGTAATCCACAAAGTATTGCCATAAAGAGATAGATTTATCGTTGATTGTCTTGAAACTTCACCTGAAGTTTAAATATCTTCAGTTTCAGGTCATTGTTTGGGTTTTCATGGTGTATCGAAAGATGTTTTGAAAATTTGAAGAATAATAGAGGGTGAATTTAAGTCATGTTTGAATCGCTGCTCTAGGTCTCATTATTTTTTGAATTCTTGCTCATTTTGGACAAGAATGGGAAGAATGAATAACATTAGAGTGCTTGGTTACAAAATTCTTTCCATAGGTCTCATTCTTTTTAAAATGAAAAATTAGCCCATATCATAAAAATTGAGATAGCCTATATAGCACAAAAAATAATCATACCCCATCTTGCTCATTTCATTCTTTAAAGAAACTCTATGTCAATGGTCATAAACTGCCCGCCTATGTCTACAAAACCACCACCACCATTGTCTATTAGCAGATTGCCATGGAAACTTATGCCAACAGGCATTGACCACCAGCTATCCACCGGTAAACATCTGTGCCAATAATTTTGGAGACCTAGGCCTGCAGTTTATGACCGTTAACACATTTTTTTAAGAATGAAAATGAACAATATAAGGCACTTACCAATTTGAAAAGAATTCATTTTTTAAGAAAAAAGTGCTTTGCTCATAACAATATTTTCTCATTCTACCCATTTTTATCTATTCTTGTCCATTTTAAAATTTCATCTTAGATAAAAATGAGAGAATGAGAATTAAGCTAAAACATTTAGGGGGCATTCTTTTTTTGGGTTTTGAGAGGGGGGAAAGTTGGTCAATGGGATTTTGATTCCCATTGACCAACAAACCCATGTTCATTTTTCAGATTTATGTGGAGACCAATGAAAGTTTATTTTCCTATAAGTGATACCCATCTCCTAGGTAGGTAAATTAACTTTCCCATCTAGGGGAAAGTTGCAAATACTCGGATGAGACAAAAATGCCCCTTTTAATAATGAAATTTTTATGGCTAAGATGGCCATTGCCTTATTTAAATGGAAAATAAAAGAACATAGGTAAATGCACTTACCCTGCTAAGTCTTTCTTGAGAAACACTTACCCAGGTAAGTGACTTACCGAAAAGTAAACGGGGCATTAATTATTTCGATCAATGTTTAATGACAATGTCAATTTTTAAAAAAATTAGGAATATTTTAAGTGATTTTGCAAGTAAACTAATATCCATTTGATGATGTTTTCTCTCTGAACCTTATGCTTTATGAAACATGGTATCAGACCACCAAAGTAATTTTTTTTTGGGTATTGTTGGGTATTAATTACGTATCCTTTATTTGGGTATTGTTGGGTATGGGATTCTCATCTTTAGGCACTACAAGAAAATCAGTCCGTCGGCTTAGGCCTTAAGACCGCTAGCTTTGATCTAAGGCGGCGGTCTTCAGTCCACCCCCTAAACCTCTGTCAGCTTAGGTCAAGACTGCCGCCTTAGGTGGCCCGTTCAAATTGCTCTGAAGCGGTGGTCACACCGAGTCGGCGGCTTAACATTAATCAGGTGGCGGTTTAGACCAATGCCTTATATTTCTGTCAAACTCCCTCGTGTTCTTAGGTGGTGGTTCGAACTGCCGGCTTATATGCTAAATGACCGCCACCTTGTGTGTTATTTGTGGCTAAACCAACGATTTCATGACCGCCAGCTTAGATTTTTTTATTTCAATTTTATTCATACTAGGTTAATTCTAACATTTTTTGGTCATGTTGATAGCTAAGCCAATGGACATGACCGTCAACAATATACCTATTTTTTTTCAAAAAAAAAAATGCATATACCCGCTTAATTGCAGCATTTTTGTGGTACCTGAATTTTTTTATTGATTTAGCATTTTCATACCTGTTTAATACAGCAAAACCATTTGATAAAAATCAATTTAAAATGAAATCTATTAATTCAAAGATTATATATTAAAATATCCAAAAGACATTGTTCAAATACAATATTCAGTTGACATATAAATAATACAAGAACTTAAAAAAAAAGTTAATCAAATTCTCTAATAATGCAGCACATCTTCCAATGCAAATCCACTTAACATATTGGTTGGACCTACAAATCAAAACATATATATTAGAATTATATTCAAGTATTTTAACTATAACGATAGGAATAGTAACTAAAATCTACATGGGCTGAATTCTAAGCAATTAATTGGAATATCAATAGTAGTTTAAAATATTCTATAGCATCTATAAGGGCATACTAGCATTGCATCACTTATAATTGGAATTCTAGCAAGAACTGTAAAACATGGTTTTAAATTTGAGTAGTTCAAAACATGGTTTGGTATAGGAACTGTAAAAGATTTTTTTAAAGAAAACTTACCTTTGGCATTCTTTTTTTTTCACAAATTGGCTGCTCTAATTGTCAGCCCAAGATTTATTTTTTTAAACCAAACTAGAGCCCTCTACTAACAAATCAGGAACCACATGAAAATCCTAGCTATAAAAGTCTCCACAACATGCAATCAGTGGATGATTCTGACACAAGCTAACTCTAGTACCTCTTTTTGGGGCTGATCATGTTAAGGTAGTTTTAGTCATTTCTTTTCACCAAAATCCTCAGATAATTTCATCTAATATGCATCTAAGCATAGTATTGCTACAAATCCTTAAGTATTCATTCAAGAATTTTTGTTACTTCTTACAAATCTCTCCTAAAACATAGGTTCCAGGAAATACTAAACTCATCCAGAGACAGAAAGGAGGAAATAGTCCATCAATGAAGGCAGGAAATGGATTCATTATATAAAGCTTATTAGTAACATTTAATTCTATAGATATGCCACTCTCTCATGCACTCGTACCTATTAACCACCATTTCAATCTTTCTGCCAATAAGTCATATTTTCAATTTTCAAATTCCAACATTCAAATCATTGTTCTAGACTTCAACTTTTTATCTTGTTTTGGATTTGTCCTATACAACCTTTTCTCACACACTGACTTGTTCTCTTCTAATTGTCAATATTTGTTTTTTAACCTATATCAGTAGATTATGGAAAATACATTTCAGGTGACCATCTTCCATGTAACAGCAAGCCTCAAGAGCAAAGGGTTACAAGTTCCAAAGAATTCCCTCATGTTCTAAAACCTTTAGTTGGCCATTCTGCTATCAGCATAGGAAGAATGTATAGGTCACCAATTGGCAATTGAATAACTGTAAATAAAGGACCCAGATGTCAACCGTGAACCTGCCAGAAATGGAAAGGTTTCCACTGCTGCTGCAGTGATTTAGAGCATTAACCACAAAAGCAGAAGGTTGGCACTAGACATTCGCTTGGAGAGAACTAGAGAAGATGATCAATAGTCAGGATCCTATCCAGAATAGCAGTACACATAAAGAGACTTGTGATGGAATATGTGCCTTCCAAAGTAAAGAGTTCTAGGCAGGCCCCTTAAGGCATGAAGTTAACTATTAACCAAAAATGACAGGTAAATAGATAAAGAAAACAATTTTATGCTTTTAAGGGAAGCCAAGAACTCTTGAAGTTTCAAACCACCTAAATTATAACAATATTTGAATCCCCATGAGGTATCAAAGATGAACACAAACATGCTATACTAGATTTTACATACTAAAAAAGCATACTGTATAATGGAGGAAATGATAGGTTGAGCTACAAGCATACACTAATCATAAATTGCTTTCAAGTTACTATTTGCTTAGGCACAAATGCAAATTTGTAGTGTGTAAAACCTTGTATTTTGCGTTATTTTGTATGTATTTGCACTCTACAAATTTGCATTTGTACTCCTTCTAAACTGAGCCTTATGAGGAAAAAAAGATAACTCAGCTATTGCAACAGTATGTCTCCATGCACTTCAAAACTATGATTCTGTTTTGACTGTAGAAGCAATAGATCAGAGTGAACAAAAAGTCATATAGAAGCAACAAGCATAAAATGATATGAAACATAGATAATACTTGTATGAAGTGATCTCAGCATTTGAATTCTCCAATTGCCTCTCCAACTTTAACTCATTTGACCTCAACCTCAGTGCCTATGTAAACAAAATACATGGTAAGGTTAAGAAAAGGAAATAACCAACAACCACATCAAATTTAAATATGTAATAGCATCCTGCTATGAGAGAATGAAGCTAATACTGGATAAGAATAAGAGCTCAGAAAATAACAAAATATGCAATAAACAACAGTCAAGCAACCAACAAAATTTACAAAACAATAACAAATTACAGAAATTTTAATTTAACATATTCTTTTGTAAGCTTTTGTTGCCATGGGGAGTTCCAAAAGGATTCATCATGGTCCACAAAGCGCATCATGTATTTCTGAAATTCTGCTCAAATTTAAAACCATGTTTTGAACTACTTTTCAATAATCATGTCGTCTTTTACCGCTGTACAATTGTGCAGTTCTTGTACCAAACAGCCAATGCAGTTCCAGCATTGTTCCATTATATTCTAGGAGCTATCAAGCTCGGCATGCAAGCCAACAAGTACCATATCAAAAAGAAATCCAGGCTGCAACTATACAGTCTTCCCAAGCAAAATATTTCCCATTTTCCAACATAATTTACCCAGATAATAATACAAGTAAAATTGTAGAAGGCAGATCATAAATTCATAAGTAATAGTTAACTAAGTATTATTATGGTCGGAAAGGGATTCCTAACCAATCGGATAACTCTGGAATAGATAAAACACCAAAGTCAAGGCAGTAGAACTATACTAACTTGAAAATCTGCCAAACAAACACATCAAATACCTTTGCAGCAATGGCACACAAATACTTGGCGCGATAAGCCCCGGAAGCCGATGCCTAATATTTCCCTCCATTCCTGGAGAGGGCCCTCCAAGCAGCGTCCACTGCCAACTCCTCATCTTCGACAATCGCCGCAGGTATATCCCCTGAAACAAGTCGCGAGCTCCACAAAATCAGATGTCTGATAAACCAACCTTCTAGCGGGGTTTGTCGTGTTTCAGGTATATCCCCAACACGAAGCGCGTCGATGGAGAAGGTTTCTTCTACTAGAAACACCACTGGAACAAATTTAAGGCAACAGAGCAGAAGTATAGGGTTTGTTGAGCTGAATAGGTGCACACATTAAGAGGAAGGAGGGCGTAGGTTAAGGCAAAACTATCCTTGTCGGGGTTTGCGGTGGCCACAAACAGATAATGGTCGAAGAGAAGAAGACGGGAAGAATGATGCTCTGGGCTCCGAAGGGTTTTTCATTAGGCTACTAATGAAGAAGACCGGTTCATTGTAGATTATACCGGTTGAAATCCGATTTATTTTGAAAATTGTCGTATCTATTCTTTTAGACCGCTGCGCCAGCTCTCGAATTCAATTGAGGCGGCGGTCTTAAAAATACCTCGCCTTAGGTATTAGTATAGCGGCGGTCAAAGGACCGCCGGCTCTAAACCGCCCGCTTTGACCGATTTTCTTGTAGTGAAGCGTTTTTTGGATATTGCTGGGTATTCGTTACATGTCTCTATTTCCTCTTTATATGTGTTTCCTATATTCTGGAAATTTTTCGTGGTGGTTTTGGAAATCGATGAAAATGTCCAACGTGGCCCAATTACCTCTTCTTGGCCTCTATGTGGCCCATGTCCCAGAATGCTGAACGGATATTGGGCTTATATTGTCTTTACACACTAATGATTACTCCTTTCTTGGTGCTCCGATTTTGCTCTTCATGGTCGATTCTTTCCAATAGATTGATCTCTCATTAGTGGGACAAGCATTTCATTTTTATTCCCTGTTGGAACAAAATATTTGTGCTTATATCTACATGGTGGCGCATCTCATGGTTATTTTGGTTCTGATATTTCCTTTTATCTTCTCTTCTTCAGTTGCCCTCATGGTTTTAAAAAACGATATGCAAATGGAATTATTCTGGCCATTTGTTTTTGGGTAGATGATTCGACTGTCCGGTTTGTTTTGATAAAAAAAATAAAAATAATAATTAAAAATAAAAAATATCCATAAACTATTGAATGGATCGACATTTCGACCACCCGAATTAATGGATCATTGATTGATTTGGCCAAGGACCGGGTTTGGAATAAAATGGAACAGGTTGTCTGAACAGTTCCTGAACCAAACGATCCGATTGTCTAGGTCAATGACAGTTCAAAAACCATGGTTGCCCCTTTGCTATTTGCTTTTGTAGTTGTACTATGAGCAGTTGAGTTGAATATAAATGTATTTGGGCTTGGAATAAATACTTTTTAACAAAAAAAAAAAAGAAAGAATCAAAATCATGCATTCCTAGTTTTGTATTCAGAAAAAGGAAAAGCAAGAATATGTTAGGCCCGTTCATTTGTCATTATTTTGGGATGCGTAAATTGATCAATTAGATAATTGATCACAATACCCACGTTTTTATGTTGCTAGACTGGGTTCCATGATAAACGAATTTTCTGAAAAGTATCAATTACATGATGAATTGATACCCTCCTATATAAAGTGAATAAATTGTTTATCCATGCGTTTGATAACAATCTCTCCCTCCTGCCTCTAATTTTATCCACGTAAGTCATATTGCATAAGAACGTTGTAATAGAACTTATTTACGCACCTTTTGCTCAGTAAACACTTGTTTGGGTAAATTCTTATCTATAGGTAAGTGAAAACAAATGAAACCTTTATGTGCTTTTCTTTCAAGTAGTGTTTTTGAACCGCCATTAACCCAGACAATCGGACCATTTGTCCCAGAAACCATCTAGGTAATTGGTTCTGTTTCAACCCTAACCCGCTTTTGACCAAAAACTGGTGACTTGGTCAGCGACCCACTGACCTAGACGGTTTTTGGCTGTTTTTTACATTTTAATTATCTTTTAAATTTTTTATTTTTTAATTTGGAACAGGTCATTTATTCGAACCAGGTGATCAAACCGTTGGCCCAGAAACCGATGGCTAAAACAGTTCCAATTTTGAATCGATTTTTAAAACATTGATTTCAAGAAAATGATGCTGTTCAAACCATTTTATGAGCCCTGTTTTCCTGAAAGCGCAACGGAGAAAACAATTCAGGTTAGAAAACATCATCTCAATGACCTAAGCCCGACCTTACCACCTTAGGATTGGCACAAACAGCTAGAAGCCAATCATGCATCAAGTTCAAGGTTTGTGAGCCTTGACTAAGCCTGGTCTTAGCTGTATATCGGCTACCAAAAACAGAAATAGAAAAGGATACAAATCCGAAGGACAAAACCAATGTTAAACCAAGCATCTTTTTCATCAGAATTCATCACCACCCATTAATAAATATGCCCAACTTTCTACTGAAGGCTTTGGTCCTACTTGAACGGGACCAAATTGACCCGGCTGGATATGGCTCTGTCAGATCGCCTCTCTCTCTCTCTCCCCCTCCTTTATCCTGATTCCTGACAGGACAATAGCTACCATCTCAATTGATGAACTTGTTTGCTATGAATCTAAATGGGTTAGAGAGAAAATCATGTATAGTGGTTAGATAACCTATCAAGAATGAATATGCCGATGTTTCGTATACATAAAACATGGGTCCCAAATAAATTCCATATATAACACTAGTGTGTTCGCTCGTCATAGATTACTCAGCTCGCTATGCATAATTTTGTCTCAGCCCATTTAATCCATTTGTCGAAGGATACATCCAAGAATTCTTGGGCTTTCCATTTCTTGGCCGTTCTGTTAAGCTTTTGTGACAACGACATGTCCCTTATTTATCATGACCGTGACCAAACCACCAACCATACTGAATGCCAGTGCGAGTGTTGAGAATGGCTTCCCACCAAAACTTGTCACATAACTTGAATATCATCCTCAACTTTGAGAGTACATTAATTACCATAAAAAAAAGGGAGAGAAAAGAATGAAAATTCCTACCTTATCTTCTTATCAAAATATCGACACTACATCCATCAATTTTTTCCTTAAACTGGGTCCCACATGGTGTACATTATCATGCTCATTTACTTGATTAATTTATTGATTTTTTTGGGTTGAACAAACCCTAGTTCACTGTGATAATGGTGGTGGAGATGGTTGAGTGCACCAAGGTTTTGAGTCTTCCATACCCAACTGTTTCCCCTCCTTTTCAATCTTTTTTTTTGACAATGTCTTCTTCACGGTTTTAATAATAAAAAACGTATAATAATAAAATAACCCAAAAAGATCTGTATATAGACATTTTATTTTTACTTTACTTTTGTTTTTAGGCCGTGTTTGATTGCAGGACAAATAAATTTGCACTGATACAAAATTATGATAGTGCAAATGATTTGGGCACAAATTTTATCTTGATTGCAGTACAAATAAAGTAAAATATAAGACATGAAGCAAAATAAAGTAAAACCTAAGGCTGTGTTTGGAAATGATGCAAATGGAGTGTAAATCTCGGTTTTGGGTAAATTTGCACTCTAGTTCACTTTTGCTTGTTTTTGGCAACATTAAATTTATGTATTGACAAATTACAGACCAATGTATATTTACATTGATAATAAGATGTAAAAGTACATCAATAAAAAAGAAGTAAATTTGCATTCAAATGGACTTTTGATTAAAAAAAAAAAAATATGCTCTATTGAAATTCATGTTTGCATCCATTACAGCTAAAATTCTGTTTAGTAAGAAGATAAATTCGTCAGTGCAAAACTAACCCAACTTTACAATTTACATGAACCATTTTACACTACATATTTGCATTCATACTTATTTGCATCGTTTTCAAACAAAATTAAAATAGAATTCCCATCTTTTCATTTGCACTCTCATACATTTGCACCAGTACTAGTACAAATTATCCCATGATTTCATCATCATCCTTTTTTTTAGTTTTGACTCGGCATTCCTTGATTCCATCCCAAAACGTGTGGGAAGGATCAAATGGTCACGGTCATTGGACTGGGTGTCTTCATGGGCTCTCGACCCTAATAAGACCCGTTCAGATGTTGGAAGCTGGAACATTTCTTTGGGTAAACTGGGTCCATCCAAGGTCAAAGCCCATTAGAGGGGTAAATTCGTCGTTTAGAGATTATATGGAAGTCAATATATACAGACATCTCCTTGCTCTGTTTTCTGTCGTTCCAAGTTAACTCGTAGCCCGCAAAAGCAGGGTTGTTTTAGTATTTTTCGCCATAAACAGAAAATAAAAATAAGAATAAAAGAATTTCTCTTCTCTGTCCCCCCGAGAAATTATATTACAAGGGCTTTATCGGAAAACAAACTGTCTCTTTTTATTATTTTCCTTCTTTAGGCATTTCTCTATTATTATCTCTATTTTAGTATTTTTTTTATCATTTCCGATTCTCTTCGTCTCTGGCCTCCCTCTCTCGCTCGCTCGCTCGCGCGCTCGGTGGTTCGATTGATCGATCGGTCGATCGGTCGTTCGTTCGCCAGAAGCCATGAATTGACCGTTGGAGACCACCTCATTTGGTTTTTCCGGCAATGTTCTATAGATGGTTTCGGTTTTACCATTTCTCGGCGGTCGGATTTCTCGACTACTTGAATTAAAATCGGTACCTTTCTTCCCCTGGTTCACCTTCTTAGATCTGCCTGTATTTGGTTTTGTATAATAACTTGTTCAGACATTAGAACGAGAATGAAGACATCATTGTTTTCAGAATTTAGGGTTGTTTCCTTGAATTTGTTCTCAATTAGTTGCGATCTTTGTTGGAATTTCAATCTCGTAGGGCATTGCTTGATTCACTGAATTACGTTGACGTTAGTAGCCAGAGGAAGATCCAGGGTTCGGGTTAGAAATGTTTCACAAGATAATAAAGCGTGGGCATCGGAAGGTCTCCAAGTCGGATGCCAATGAGGCTGCTGTATTTGGGCACGGTGCTTCCGCATATCGGAATTCTGGATCCGTTTCGACGTCGAATATTACAGTAAACCATGCCTCTCGAACTACCGATGCTTCTTCTGTTGCCAATTCTCAGCAACAGTCAGGTGGGGCGGCAAATGGCGCCGGCTCGGAGCGGGGGAGCGTTGTTGAATCCATGCCAGTAATCGTTGAGACGCTTCCGTTGTTCAGAGATGTCCCCGTCTCTGAGCGACAGAATCTATTTCTTCGGAAGCTGAGGATTTGTTGTATACTCTTTGATTTCTCGGATACATTGAAATCCATTCGGGAGAAGGAGACCAAGCGACTGACTCTTATTGAGCTTGTAGATTTCATACAATCCGGTTCTAGCAAGATTACTGAGAATGTTCAGGAAGAAATGATTCGGATGATTTCTATCAATATTTTTCGTTGTTTGCCTCCAGCTTCGCATGAGAACACGGGAGCTGAAAATACTGACCCAGAAGAAGAGGAACCGTATATTGAGCCTTCCTGGCCTCACTTGCAGATTGTATACGAACTGCTTCTCAGATACGTTGTATCGTCTGACACGGATACTAAGATCGCGAAGCGATACATAGATCATTCTTTTGTTTTGAAACTCCTGGATCTTTTTGACTCCGAGGATCCTCGTGAGCGGGAGTATTTGAAGACTATTCTCCATCGAATTTATGGGAAATTCATGGTGCATCGCCCATTTATAAGGAAGGCAATAAACAACATCTTCTACCGCTTTATTTTTGAGACAGAGAGACACAGTGGAATCGGCGAGCTGTTGGAGATTCTTGGTAGCATAATAAATGGATTTGCCCTGCCAATGAAGGAGGAACATAAGTTGTTCCTTGTTCGGGCTCTTATTCCACTCCACAAGCCTAAAGCGGCTGCCTTGTATCACCAGCAGTTGTCATACTGCATTACCCAGTTTGTTGAAAAGGATTATAAACTGACGGATACTGTCATAAGGGGGTTACTGAAGTACTGGCCCGTCACCAACTGTCAGAAAGAGGTTCTCTTTCTAGGAGAGCTAGAAGAAGTGCTGGAGCTAACACAATCGGCAGAATTTCAACGATGCATGGTTCCTCTTTTTAGACAAATAGGACGCTGCCTCAATAGCTCGCATTTCCAGGTTTGGATTGCATTTTTTTTATTTTTAAATCATAAAGTTTGCAATTCATTGACATGGAGTTCATCTATTGGTATCAGTGTATCACAAAGAATGTTGGTTGTTAGATGATCCAAGTAGAAAATCAACAGCATACTAGAAATAAATCTAATACCTTGCATGGATATGATATTGCAGTGTTTTATGTGGAAATTATAAGATGATTTTGAGCCCAAAGTAACAATGGTTCTGGTCAAACCATCATTCTGAATATTCAAGAATGTCAATTTCATTTCTTCTTTCTTACCTAATAAGGATTTGAATTATCCTCATTACAAGTCTGTATGTTTTCTTCATGCCTCATTTATTTATGTCATTATCCTATTAATTCTGCTTTTCTTCATTTTTTGCTGGTTTCTTGCATATTACATATTGATGCCTACTTGTTTTTTATCAATAATGTCTCTTTGTTTATTTATCTTACAAGGATCCAAAGCAAGGCTCTGAATTTCGACATGATATGCCCTGTATTGGGTGTATCATATCAGTGGGGGTCTGAAACAGGAAATACAAGCTTTTTGGCCTTTTGACCTATTTCAGGAGGTAGGCAGATCTAAGACCTACTCCCTGACCTGTTTTTGGGAAAAAAAGGCTTCCACTAGGTACAAAGTATCGATGCACCCCTTTCAACATATTGGGGTGTATCAATACTTTGAGCCTTGATCCATAGTGCAGAGAGAGAAAAATCTAGCTTTCCATTTGTTAGAGTTGGCTAAGGAAGGGCATTTCAGTCTTTTCTGTTTAAGTATTATGTTAATTACATATCCCATACTTAAGTAGGGGCATATTTGACTTTGTACACTGCTTTTGATATATAAATATATGGTCAGCTGGGAGAGTCTTTTTGACTTCTCAGTTCGACACTTCTTTCTCCTCTCTTCTCCTTCTTCTCCTCCTTCTCTCTCTTTCTCTCTTCTCTATCTCTAAAACTAGTACGACTGAACTATTCTTACATGGTATCAGAGCGCTGCTAAAAAGGAGAAAGGAAGACTACAGCTTCATTCGATCAGATCCTCTTTCCTCCTTTCTTTTATTATTATTATTTTTTTATTTTTTCTGGTCTGCCCAATCTGGAGTAAGTGGTGGAGAAGGTTGCAGCAATCCCCAGAAGTTTGCGGCAACCTATTCAGGCGTTCCTAGGGTTATGGTGGCCTAGTTACAGGTGAAGGGAGAGTGCGGCAGCCCTAGTGGAAAATTTCTGGACTACTATCACCATGCGTGACAGCCTTGGTGGTCGTGTGGTTGTAGTTGTGGTGGTCTGAACCCTCTATTGAGCAGTTTCAAGAGGGATATTTTTTTTATGGTGGTTATGAAATTGTATGTTCACAGAAGTGGCCGAATGTACGCTAGGGAAGGATCGTGGTGATTGGATGAAGAGACACTGTACGGTAATAGTCGAAGTGTTTGGGACTGATTTTTTTTTAGTTCAAGCAGAACCAGTTTCGTAGGTTGAAATGGCGTCAATAGGAGATGTTAGTGGTGACCATAAATCAAGTGTGATGATTTCCTCTGATTTTTTAAGTGTGCAGATGACATCCATCGAACTCAACGGTGAAAACTATGTGCCATGGGCTAAGTCGATGGAAGTGTTTCTTAAGGCTAAGAAGAAAATAAAACATGTACGGGAGGAGAAACCTACTGGCTACTGTTGAATCTCTGGGTTTCAATGATTGGGAGAAGGAGGATGCTCAAATCATGACGTGGTTGTGGAACAGTATGGAGCCTAAAATCAATGTTAACTTCATGTTCTTAGACACAATAAAGGATATATGGGAGCATGCCAAGAAACTCTATTCTGGACAAGACAACACTAGAAGAGTTTATCAGCTTTATCAGGAGTACTTCGGTTTGCAACAGGAAAATCAGACCCTTGAAAAATGTTATGCCAGTATGAGAAATCTTCGGAATGAACTTAATGTCTATCATCCCTTAACTCCAGATGCCAAAATTCAGCAACAACAAAGGGAACAACTTGATGTTACCCAATTCTTAGTGGGGCTGAAATCAAAGTATGAACCTATCAGAGCACATATATTGGGTGGATCTGCCCTCCCTACTATAGGGGAAGTGTTGCCCGTCTTTGTAGGATCTATTTTGGTCCCACAGAGATTACCATACCTCCTGACAGATCAACACTTGTTGGAACTCGAGGAGGAGCTTATGGGAACAGAGGAGGTGGTAACCCTATGTTTGGTCGTAGCAATGGTGGAGGTCGTGATTCAGGGGGAGGCCATGGAGGAAGAGTAAACACTTTAGGAAATGTACACATTGTGGAAGAGATGGACACACAGTTAACTTCCGTTATGATCTGCATGGTCCACCCTCCACATGGGCTAATCATGCAACTGTTGGTGGTAGTGAAGTTAGTGATAATCAGCCAGTTGATCCAACACCTTCTACAGTATGAGAGATTCTACTTCACGTCAGAATACTGCCACCCTTGCTCATTCAGGTATGGCTTGCCTGGCATCAAAACCTTCCCTCTGGATAATTGACTCTGGAGCCTCTGATCACATGACTGGGACTCTAGGTGTGTTTTCCTATCTTTCTCCGACCTCCACATCACATAATGTTACCCTAGCCAATGGTTCTACTTCCCCCATTTGTGGTATCGGTAATGTTGACATTGCATCTCTTTCTTTGTCTTTTGTTTTATATATACCCAAGTTTCCTTTTAATCTTATGTCTGTTAGTAAACTAACCAAATCCCTCAATTGTTTCATCACATTTTACCCTTCTTGTGTTTTTCAGGATCTCAAGACAGGGAGACAGATTGGTGGAGGGCATGAAGCCAGTAGATTGTATTACCTTGACGGTGGTGGTTCTACAGTTGCACTTCAAACTTCTGTTACTCCTCTCCAGTGGCATTGTAGACTCGACCATCCATCTCTTAAAGCTCTCAAGCTACTTGTTTCGTCATTGAGTCATCTGTTTTCCTTGCAGTGTGAGTCGTGCCAGTATGGGAAACACCATTGGGTTTCCTTCAATCCTAGAGTTGATAGTTGCATGTTGAGTCCTTTTGCTTTGGTTCATTCAGATATTTGGGGTCCACTTAGAATTGAGTCTTATAATGGTTACAGGTATTTTGTTGTTTTTGTTGATGACTGTTCAAGAATGACATTGATTTATTTAATGAAAGAAAGGGGCGAATTACTTTCCATTTTCCAAAAGTTTCATGTTGAAGTGTATACATAATTTGGTGTTTCAATTAAAATTCTCCGTTCAGACAATGGCAGAGAGTATTTTCTTCATTTTGGCAATCTTTGGAACAACATGACATTATTCATCAGACATCCTGTGCAAACACCCCTCAACAAAATGGGGTGGCTGAGGGGAAGAACCGACATCTACTTGAAACAACTCGGTCTCTTCTTTATCATATGAATGTTCCTAAACGTTTTTGGAGTGATGCAATACTTATTACTTGTTTTCTAATTAATCGCATGCCCTCGTTCATTCTTGATGGTCATTCTCCGTTCTCTATCTTGTTTCCCACTTTGTCTCCATATCCCTTGACTCTCAAGATCTTCGGGTGTGTGTGCTTTGTTCAGAATCTTGGTCCTGGTCTAGACAAGTTGGATGCACACTCCATTAAGTGTATCTTCCTTGGCTACTCTAGGACTCAGAAAGGGTATAAATGCTACAATCCCATTACTTGGAAATCATTTGTCTGTCATGATGTTACATTCTTTGAGTCTGTGTCATACATCTCAAGTCTCGATATTTCTCCTCCCAAAGAGGTTCATCTTCCTCTTCCAGTTGATAATCCCATTCCTGTTGTTCCCGTTGTGACTGAGTCTCCACTTCCCCCAATGCAGGAATTTACTGAAAGGCCACCAATTTGTCAAGTGTATACTCACCGACAGAGACCAGCACCTCCTCCAGCTTCTACTCCGTCTGCAGATCCAGTTTCTTCCACACTCAAGTTGCCTTTTGACCTTGACCTTCCTATTGCATTGCGGAAAGGTAAACGTAGTTGCACTTTGTACCCCATATCCAATTATGTTTCTGTCTCTCACCTTTCCGCTTCCCATCGCAAGTTTGTTTATCTATTATCCTCCGTATCTACACCTAAGGATGTTCAGGAGGCTCTTACTTCGCCAGGGTGGCATAAAGTTATGGAAGAGGAACTCTCTGCCCTTAATCACAATCATACGTTGGAACTCACCAATCTTCCCCTAGGTAAGCATGTTGTTGGTTGTAAATGGGTGTATACTGTTAATTATCTACCAGATGGGAGAGTGGAATGGTTGAAAGCCCGTTTAGTTGCCAAAGGGTATTTTCAACTTTATGGTGTAGATTATGTGGAAACATTTTCCCCTATTGCTAAGATTGGCTCAGTACGTGTGTTGATTTCCTTAGTAATCATGAATGATTGGCCTCTGTTTCAACTCAATATTAAAAATGCCTTACTCCATGGTGATCTTCTAGAGGAGAAGTGTACATGGAGCAACCACCAGTGTTTGTTGCTCAGGGGGAGGATGGTAAGGTGTGTAAGCTCAAGAAGGCAATCTGTGGGCTCAAACAGTCTCCCTGTGCTTGGGTTGGAAAATTTAGTGAGGTAGTGAAAGAGTTCAGAATGAGACAATGTCAAGTTGACCACTCAATATTTAGCTATGACTCTGAAGCCGAGAAGATCTTGCTAGTAGTTTATGTGGACGACATAGTCATTACTGGCAGTGGTAGACTTGGGATTGATAGACTGAAGGTCTTTCTACAAGATCACTTTTAGACAAAAGATGTTCTTGACCTATTGTAAGAAACAAGACTATTAGGTGCTAATCCAGCTGAAACTCCCATGGAACCGAATGTGAAGTTGGGTAGTGATATAGGTGAATTATTTGATGATCCCGGAAGGTAAAGAAGTTTAGTGGGAAAACTGAATTACCTAACTATCACTAGACCTGATAGCTCATTTTCTGTCAGTGTGGTAAGCCAATTTATGCAAAGCCCTCGAATTCCTC